TCCGTACACGTCGGATACTATGTCCGAAAGTGAGCATAGCACCATACCGAATTGCTTGCCAATTGTCGGTTGAGTGCACCATGCATGCCGACAAAAACCTTTCTGGGCAAGCTTATGGATGTATGCAGTCGTAATGATATAACTGCTACCAACATTCCGCTTGCATATGTGTTGATGAACTGTTGTTGGGGATCCAGCCCATTCCTGGAATGACCCCCTTGCTCGAGATACGGCCCAAACGTGAGTGTAGCAGGGTTTTATACCGTGCTAAAAGGATGGGTCATTGTTATGACAACGTGTATGAAATCTAAGGAATGCTGCTGGATGCACCAACCACAGGCAAATTGTCTGGGGAGTACGCATATCTCATTCACATATGAATATGATTGGTGGCCCATGCTATGTAGGTGTATTTCGATACAGCGCTTATATCACAGGGTATTCAGTTGCTATAGACACCCTTCAACCTGGATGGGGTCGTGTGCGTTGCCCAATTGGGCAGTTTACGTTCCAGAAAATTTCAGGCACTTCGATCATTTGCGGTGCTTTCACGCTACGGGGCTGATGGTCAAGTGAGCGACGACCTTCTTATTCAAAATACAATACAGCACCACACGTCTATATATTCTCCTTTATTAATTCAAGCTCTCCTTATATTCATGCACTATAGGTCGCTGCTCTGGTTCCACTTACAATCATCTTCGCTTGCGTGCCCAACAAGTTCGTTGATACCAACGCACAACACAAATCGCATTTTACGGATAGCAAGTCCCCCTCCCTAGATGCGCTAGGGAACGTGGTATCGACTGAGATTAACAAGTATGTGATACATATTTGAAATCTCTGGCGCTCTTCATCCTTTCACTGTTGCGTATAGTATGCTGAGCATTACCCTATTAACACCTTACGAAGACTCAATTAAGCATTCTACAAATACTCAATGCCTGTGACGAAGAATCTCGTATATACGTTGTCGCATATGCGCTCGACCACATGCAGATCAGCATCTAGTCCAAGCGGAGACATGTTTTATCAGCCTTGGGGCTATTAACAACCGTGGATTCTACATGCCTACGCAGTACCTACACACATACAACCACTTGCTACCAGCACATGACATGTCCGCTGACCCTCGTAGGCGAATACTCTAACTGATTCGACTTCGCCGTCCCATTTCTATTCATAGGTCCAAGCACTCGATTTAAGCAGACAGATGTCCACAATATGTCTCGCCACCTTTCTCCTTCGTATATAGTTATAATATATACAGTCATCTATCTTTGGAAGTGATTATGCCATTAGAAGCACTCGTGCATCGCGTTGCGATGTTCAGTCAGCGTGTCTATAGAAGCATACATGCTACCTGTCTCATGCGTAGCTATTGATCTGGTATATAAAGTGCAACCAGTAGATGCAAGGAAACATACAATCAAACGCATACGTATAGATTGCTTTGGTGTGCACAGTCATCAATCTTTGGAAGCAGGGATACTACCAGGCTCGTGCTGGTGTGCTTTTTTACCAAAATACTATGAAGTTCATATGTGCATATTGTTTGATATATCCAGCCAGCCGCCCCCTAACAACTGGGCACGGTTCAAGCGTAACTTCACGGCGGTGTTCTTCAATCCCGTGTACATCATGTGCACTCTGGGCTTGTGCTCGCTGTACTTTGTAGTCACCGGACTGCAGATGTGGATCACCGAATACTTGGTGGTGTACATGAAGCTCAACAAGGTATGTGCTTGAAAACGGGTGCAATTGCGCCACCGTCAGGCTGCGTGTGTAGTAGTTTGTCAATGGGCTGGGCTTTGCTAGAATTGCCTCGGCCAACCTGGGCGAGATATATACATCATACAAAACTACTTTGTCGAGGGCTAATTGGCCAATACTGGACATACCGCCAATCTGTTTTTCTTACACAGTTGCTGTGCAAAGTTTAGTTTATCATTCTTTGACAACCACCACCTTTTAATTTCTAACACTTAATTTCCAATATTTTACAGAATGTTGTGGTGACTGCGTTTTCTGCCGTCTGCGCCACAGCTCCAATTGCGTATGTATCTATACACATGCCAATAGATCATTGCTCCCACATAGATTGTATACCTTTTATACGTGTTCGGAGGTATTTTTGTATGACAGGGTGTGTACTGTCTCGCGTCGGCTTTTGTTGAAAGTGAGAGTTGGTATCATACGGATATATGTAGATTGCATTTAGGGGTATGCTGCGTTTGGCAATAGTTGATTGCCTAACATACATATCGAACTCGTCTGTGCGATTCCAAATAGTTGCTTGGCTTGGCGCCTGCATTCAATTGTGAGACTTTGCAAAGTCGACGATACCCCTTGTTGGCGCTAACACTTAAGCTAGACTTCATCGAATAGGAAAGATAGAGTGTATTAGACTGCTTCATCACACTCCCTGTTGGCACTAATGCTAAAACTAGACTTCCTCAAATAGGAAAGATAGAGTATATCAGGCTGCTTCATCATACTCCCTGTTGGCATGAATACTAAAGCTAGACTTCACTAAATAGGAAAGATAGAGTGTATTAGGCTGCTTCATCATACTCCCTGTTGGCACCAATAGTAAACCTATATTTCCTAAAATGAAAGATATAAGTGAAACTGGACACCCCCGATAAATTACAGAAACTAGTTTTCGCATCATGGGAGCGACCATCACCGTGTCAATTCCTTTTTCTAAACTTAGTTTTATGAATACTGATTGTCTTGAAACATAGCGGTGTACTGGCAGGCGGTCGTATGCTCGACATCTGGGGTGGCTATAAGGGACCGGCCGGCATCGTTCTTGCAACGAAGACTTCTACGCTTCTCGGGTGAGAACCCAAAACAATTCCTTTCTGTGTTTTTCTGCTGCTCCACCCATATATGTTGGAGTATGCTTGCCGGTTTATTTGTTACGTGACGCGAAGGCGGTATATTAGTAATGGGACCTTTCGGAGATAGAGAGAGAGAATGGCATGCTCATTATACTGGACGCTTTAATTCTCAACAGAGTTGGAGCCGTAGTCTTTGCGCTTTTGTTCGTGCTGGTGGATGTATTCGGGGTCGTCATTTTCAGCATTTGGGTTCTTCTATTCTTTGGTGGCGCGATTGTGCCACTGGCCACCGGTAAGGGTTAAATATCACTCTGCCAGCAATCATACAAGCGAGTGAATATACGCTCGCGTTGTAATACATTTATATATTCCCTCACAGTACTATATAGATAGCATGCGCGTACCGTTCTTCGTAGTTGGGCCGGTCGTGAAAGTACAATCCATTTGTACGCTGCAACTCTGATGTATATAGGCGCTGATAGAGTCCGTGAAACGTACACGTGGAAGTCGCGTTTGCATGGTTTCGAGAAACTACCATACGCACAGTTCATAATATATTTATGCATATTCCAGTGTGCACAACTCAAACCATCAGAAATATTGAGAAGCCGTGAGCTTCGTATGTTTATAAATACAGTCTCCCCAAAAGGGGCAAATGCAGCTCCTATTTATATTTTAACCCGGCACAATTCACATATAAACCGGGAGTTCCTCCTCCTTTCTTCACAACTAAGAGTGCATCACCGCGCATGCACGTGCATTCCCATATACACATGCACGTGCATTCCCATATACACACGCACTAACCTTGCTATACACGCCCGCACAGGTGTGATTGTGACCTGTGTTCCTCCACCTGTCTTCGCATCTAAGATTGCATTATCACGCATGCACGTGCATCCTCATATACACACGCACTAACCTCATTCTGGACGCTCGCACAGGTGTGATTATGACCTGTGTTCCTCGCAAGCTGCGGTCATTCGCGGCGTCGTTCGCGACGATGATGTACCATTTGTTCGGATACTTTGCCGGTCCCACTGTGATCGGGGGAGTGGCTGATGCGTACGATGGTGTGCAGTGGGGCATGCGCGTGTGCATGAGCGCGTCTGGGTTTGGGGTGGTGCTTTTCGGCCTGGCTTGGTAAGTCATGCGTTGATATGTTTGTATAAGGTATATACTTGCAGTTTGGCAGTTGACGTGTTTTATACGGGTAAGTAGGCTGGTAACAAGTTTTGTACATCCGGATGTGCGAAGTGTTTATTTAACCTGTAGGATGTTGATAGGACATAATTCTACGTGAGCTTTCAGCTTGGGGTCAGTGGTGTGCGTGGTCATACCTAGCGTCTCCAAAGGATATATGAACTTGCAGCTGGTGCGCTTGTGACTTGGTCTGAGCTACCCTGGACGTGTACACATGTTGTTTGTCGTGTAGAATGTGTGTCCATGTTTGCGTACCGCTTGTCCTGTAGTACACACAGCCATGGATACCTACAAACTTCTCGTTTCTAAGTAGAAGCTTATGGCAAGTGTGTATATTCTGATCGACTGGTGTAAAAGGATTCAATTTCCCGATCAGACTGGTGAGTAGGTAGAACTCAAGAACACATCCTCCAACTATGCACCTTGTATCGAACTCACAAATTGTGCATCATTGTTTATTTGTCCACAGAACATAGACGCGTATAGATAGATGGCTGAACAAGGTTAGACATACTCAGAGAAGTTTACTCTATACATGCACAGGCACTTCTCCGTACGCCAGTTGAAGGAAACCAGGTACTTGCATGGCACCAAAAACATGCCACAGTCTGATAAGAAGATCGTGTCTATGTCGAACGACAAGTTTGACGCGCTGTCAGTCACTTCTGACAGTACTGACACGCCACATGCGGATGACGAGATCAGCAAACAGGTGCGTATGTACGTACACACGCTCAGTAGAATCAGTTATACTAAGCCCAGTATTACCCGACATCATATTGCATTCCGTTAGAGCGTGGATATACATCAGATGTCTGCACTTTTATTGGTCCTATTTGTGGTGTTCTTTGAGATTTTGTTTCCGGCCTATTAGGGATACTCGATCAAAATCGTACACGTAAATCCAACTGTCAGGCGAGAATTGTTTTGGGTCAAGTACGTACCCATGGTAGCCACTGCAAACTATCTCATTAGACGACAGAGTAAAAACACGCCATGTAAAGCTCCGCTGGCTTTTCATGGAGAGTACAGCTTTGGTGCAGACAAGCGTGTGATGTAAAAGCAAGCATTTAAACATCGGTTTCACATCTCAGTGCGTGCAGGTGATCACCTTGTACCATATGAACCAGCTCACAATTCGGTGAAATTCACTTCTGATCTGCAGATGATGGCGCGCAGCCCCTCATCTCCAACGCTCGCACGCCACCGCAACGAGAAGAAGTTCTTGGACATCAATGTCATCTCTGCGAAGAATATTTAATGTGTCAACATCATGTGATATGAGTTGAGTGCGCAATCATAGAACGTTAAGCTAGCTATTGATGCAAGGACGCTTTCTGTGGTATCCGCTGAGTATATATAGGACTATAAGTATAGCTGTTGCACCAAGGAACTATGAAACGATGAAAGTGTTCTGTAGTAGCAGCATGTGAATACCGCTGAGCATACATATAACACTAATCATAGCTACTGATACAAAGAACCAGGTATGAGCAGAAAGGGATTCATAGGTGTTGATTTAGCGACATCTGATGACTTCTCACTTAGATTCTGTAGACATCAGTATGATACCAAAGCAACTGCTATATAGCGAGTTGATAAGTCAACAACGATGTACTACCGGCCACGAATATATGTATATACCAACAGATAATTTGCCAGTTATAGTGTTGGATCATGCTGACAACGAATGAAGGGGGGTTGTCGCATGCGGCCGGTTGCAGAATGAGAGGAATTCAATAGCATGCTAGTAATGCAGCATAGGTATAACAATATAAATCTCAAGTTTAGAGATCTACCGCTTGTTACCGTCGGAGCTACCTCTTGAACGCCTGTATGTCTCATCCAACCAAACGCCTACACAAACACACATTTAATATATTAAAGTTTATTATTTTTGAAACGGAATAAGTGTGCGTGAGTACCTCATCGGTCGTTGTGTATGAATTGCGTTTTGAAGGTCCCATACATCAGACAAAATACGTGCGGTTAGATCACCATAAAATACATATGGTTACCAGCAAAATATATATGGTCTTGTCCACCAC